TTCACTGCTCCATCTGGGATTTCTTCCATAGACAAGGATTTCTCTGGTAGAATCTTAACCGGGATTTGGTAGAATCTTAACCGGGATTATCAAAGAACAGGAGGAGGAGTTTTGAACGACAATGTCGATTTTCTGCACCGTTTTAGTCTGCGTGTAGTTTAGCAATGGCAGTGGAGGAAGGACGCCATTTCACATTGAAAAGGCTTCAAACTAAGTTAAAGTTGTCTCTCAAAGCCTGCAGCACTCATTTACAACCACCTCGTTCAGCTCAGTACTTCTCTCTTCTCAGTAGTAGATGATTGTTTACATAGGTTTTGGTTAGCTTCTTAACTTAGCCTCCTTCACAGTTGAGCTGGCACACTGCACGTCACGGCCAAATGTTAGCGATTGGGTAAATCAGATCCAATCATTTTAAACTTCAACAGAGGCTACATCTTCAGAAAGCAATCGCTTCTCAATAGCCAAGAGTCCAGACCCTCTACGAAGCAAAGTGTAGAACAAGGGGCTGGTTTTTATCAGGCTACTGAACTGGTGACCAGGGGCCTTCAGAACGACCTGGAATTAGCAGGTACGATTGTTTCAAAGAAAACAATAAGTAATGCACTCAACCGCCATGGCCTGTATACACGCTCACCACACAAGACTCCACTGCTGAAGAAACAGCATGTTGAAGCTTGTTTAAAGTTTGCTGCTCAACATTTAGACAAGCCTGTGAAATACTGGGAGAATATAGTCTGGTCAGATGAGACCAACATTGAACTGTTTGGATGCCAGAATACACATCATGTTTGGAGSTCAAATGGCACTGCACATCAGCCCAAAAATACCATACCATATAAATAATTGAAGGAAGGATGAGTGGAAAAATGTACAGAGACATTATTGATAAAAATCTGCTTCCGTCTACCAGGATGATGAAAATGAAACATGGCTGAACATTTCAGCAAGACAATGAGCCCAAACACAAAGCCAAGGAAACTCTCAGTTGGTTTCAGAGAAAGAAACTAAAGCTGCTGGAATGGCCCAGCCAATCACCTGACCTGAATCCAACAGAAAATCTATGGAAAGAACTAAAGATCAGAGTTCATAGAAGAGGTCCACGAAACCTTCAAGATTTGAAGACTGTTTGTGTGGAAGAATGGGCCAAAATCACACCTGAGCAATGCATGCCACTAGTTTCTCCATACAGGAGGTGTCTTGAAGCTGTCATTGACAACAAAGTCTTTTGTACAAAGTATTAGATAAATTTCACTAAGTGTGTTCAATACTTTTTCCCTGTGTCATTCCACATTATTACAAATAACTTCATTTCTGGACATTTATGGTTTGATTTCTTTGTATGTATGGATCACTTGGGTTGTTACTGACATCTGGTGAAAATTTCATGTCATTAGCACCTCTAGTAATATATTRACTGAGAAAAATGTTGACGTGTTCAATACTTATTTTACTCGCTGTAAATGTGCATTTTTTTAAAGTCCTGTGCTGTTCAGTTTCCTTTTTCTTTGGTGACCTTTTGCAGTTGCTGTTTTATTTCATTGTAAGCATTTCTCTGAGCTATACACACATCTGTAACTCATTGTTGAAAAGACTACACAGCGTCCATTTGGATTGATTTAGAAGTTTGCATTTTCACAGATGGTGTTTTCTTCTTTTTTTTTTAATTGATAGACTTTATTCAATTTGTTTAAGCTGTTTAGTACTTTGTACAAAGGAGAATAAAAGCTGGTATCCATTATTTTGCAGAAGTACAGTGGAATGCTGATGTGCACCGCTGCACACTCGCTGACCCCTCCACGTCGGTCCAACCTTCACCGTCAGTCAGGGTTGTGTTTAGGAGGRGACATCGGCAGCTCAAGCCCACACCAAAACTTCATCATGAGATTTCACTTCTTTCTGCTCAACTTTCTGGGCCTGAGGCTTTACATTGTTACGTTGCTAAATTACAGCTTTCCAGCTCCTATCGGAAGAGGTCAGAGGATGAGATGGAGTCTGAGGGTTGGAGGGGGCTCGTATGAGGGGGAAAGAACATTTTGTGCCAGTGAAATGCAGCACTGGTCTCCTCCTGCGGAGCACAAACAGCCTGCTGAATGGTTGGTGGGACCGTGCAGTCGGCAGGTTCTGATTGGCTTTTGTATCAGTCATGAGGTGGGCTACAGGGTCATCTCTTGGTTTTTGCCTAATTAAAAAGGATGGCAAGTTTTTTTTTAAATAAACATTTGTATTGCCAATTGGACACAAGAAGCAGTTGAAATTAAACAAAATGTAACCAAATTTTACATCATTCTTCGAAAGCAGATCAACAGTTAAAACATATAGGTGTTAAAAGGTTGTTATTTTATGTCGTATTAAGAAACTGAACGAACGTAGCGTTAACCTTTTTGTTGCACAGATTTTGTCTGATAGATCTAATAAATCAACATCACATTACAGCTACTTTAACGTATTTTACATTTGTGTATGATGGACTTTCTGTTTCTATTATTTACCTTTACAGTCCACATTGTTCTACAAGAGTTTACATATTTTAAACACAGTAATAGTGGTCATTTTTGTAATAGCTCTAAAATTGAATTAGAAGTAGCTGTGTGCATCTCTTCAGTTCTGTTGTGGAGGCAGCAAGTTGTGGTTCTCTGTTTTGTCCAGGGTTAGGCAAAATCGTATCATGTGCAATTAATTTATCGGAAAAACTGTTAACAAATAATATTTATCGCTTTGCAAATACAACAGCTAGTGCCATGTGATGACATTTTTGTGTGCAAATCACTATCAGGTGCACATGTGAGCCCAGCGGCGGAAGGCAGCACAGAGCAACTAATACTAACCCTAACCCTACAAACTTATATAACCACCTGAAACACAGACATAAACTGAAGTACGTGGAAAGCCAGAGAATGCGGACCGAGGCTACATTCAAGTGTCATTATTGACTAAATGCCACAATTAATTGTGATACATTTTTTGCAAATATCTCCCAACTCTAGTTTTGTCTACCAGTCGTTTTAAAAAACACATTTTCTACATACTCGACTTTTGACCAATCTGAGAAGATGACCTAATAAAATAACGATTTCATCCAGATGTCCTTATTTCATGTAGAAAACAAACACCAGCACACACAAAACTTTCATACAATAATTTCCTGTTTCCTTATCAGTCAGTGTTCATTTAGGTCATTTTTTCTGGCCGATTTATCAGCACCGATTTCCTTAATTTTAGGAGATCGGCTGATACTTCGATAAGAACAGTGGGAAACGTTGACTTCTCATCTACCTCCACAAAGGTCTGAAAATCAGCCCTGTTGCTCTGCTGTGAGCTCTATTTAATGTCCAGTTAAAACAAGTTTGTGTTGTTTCAAGGGTTTTGTTCAGTGTTTTTCAATAAAATGAGATTGGAACATTGAAGGTGTACTGTGACCTGACATCACCCAACAGTATCAGTTTTTAAAAAACATCTTTTTCGGCCAAAATCTGAATCAGCAGGTCAGACTTTTTAAAGATCAGCGATCGGCCAGAAAACTGCAACTGATGTACCCCTAATTTTTTTGGGGGGAAAAAAAACACTTTTAGTTTGTTTGAGTTGCTTAGTTTGTTTCAACATTTATGCTAAAGCTTGAAGAAAAGTCAAAAGCTCACCTGTGTGCTAATGGTTAAGGTGTGRGTGCCAGCTATTAAAACAAGCTTTTGTTGCCCTGTAACTTCATCATGCCCTATTCAAATTGTTCTGAAAGGACAACAAAAGGTGTGGCTTAGTATTGAGCATTAGTGTTTACTTTTGGTTTGCCTGAGTCTGATGTCCTACCATCAGTTACAGTATCCTCTCATCAGAGCCACACCAACTGAAGGATTGTTTACAGCAGCACATGGTGGAAAAACAGACATTTGATATGTTTTTTTTATTTTTATAAATCTGGAATGTACCTCATAAAGCACACTGAGATTAATGCCCTGCTAAGTAAAACCTCTGCCACACGACTTTATGCATATGGTTTTGTTTGCAATGTTTACATTTTAAACTAAATAAACAATGTGTTAATGATTTTGTTTGGATTAGAAGCAGCRTGCGTGCCGTCCTTACTAGTGGCTTTTGGTGTTTTTAGCTCCAGTATCGGCTGGTGTGCATGTGTTTGTGATGTCGCTCATTCTCCACTAAATGCAAATAGTTGCTTAAGGCCTAAAGGCTGAAATGTCATTCCAGAGATTTATTTGGGCTGAGAACTGACGGGTTGCATTTGTTTGTCATTCCTTTAAAGCAGAGTAATGTCAAACCCATGTAAGGGTAAAAGATTCCTTGTGAGATGTGGATCGGCAGAAACATGCAAGTTGTTTAGCAGTTCTTTTTAGAAAATYTTCAAGAGAGTCTTAATTTTGTCTTCAAAAGACTTGTTTTATTCAACAACAACAACACAAAAGACATTAAAAAATTCAGCAGCTGACAAACTGCTTGGCRTTTTTGTTTTTAAATAAATTAGAAATCAAACTAAGACGTTAAAAACTGTTGCACGTTTATGTATTTGTACAATCTGTTAGCTGCAGACACTTTTTTGACTGCAATAGAACTATTGTCTTTAATTTTGACATTTTCATATCTGCGGCAATGTTAAAGTAAAGCATAGGTTTGTCTGTTATACTGTATTTTATTACTTGATTTTATAGCTTCATGCTATTTTTGGAGGAGACTGTGTTCAGTTAAAATTGATTCTTTAAGCAGCAGAGTGTTGGCAAACAGAAGTAACAGAACACCTTTAATGAGAGGTAACCAGAAAATGTTACTTTCCCGGTTGTTTAGGATATTTTAAATCCTGAAGCAGAAATAAACGCGCCTCTGCACAGCCCCACACACTAACAATATCTGTGTGGATGTGATTGTTTAAATTTGCAGACTTGCAACCCAACAGAAGCATCTCGATTGCTGCTTTTATAGTCCTTGAAGCTCGATGTATAAAGCTTTTACTTTCTGCATCATTAAGTGTGCCCCATCTCTCTGTGTYTTTCCACCAGAGTGCCCGGAGAAGTGTGGACGGCGAGCTTGCACAGCGGAGGGTGAGTGCTGCCACCCCCAGTGTCTGGGCAGCTGCACGGTTCCTGGCCGCGACACAGCATGTGCTGCATGCGTGCACTACCACCACGAAGGGCGCTGCGTGGCCGACTGCCCTGCAGGCACGTACCGATTCGAAGGCTGGCGGTGCATCAGCAGAGACCTCTGCTCCAAGATTCACCTTCCGGACTTCGATACCTTTGTCATCCACGGGGGAGAGTGCCTCTCTGAATGTCCGTCTGGGTTCACACGATCTGCAGCCAACAGGTGAGTTGTCATTCGCTCTGAAGCYATCTGACACTCTCCCCACCCAGGAAACCATTCAAGCATCAAACCAAGTGGTATATTTCAAACCCATTTATGGTTTATTCTTGTTTTTTTGTTTCAAAATAAAATTGCAAAAAAACATGTTTTTTTTTTGTTTTTTTTTTAACCTAAATGTAAAATCAAACTAACTAAAAATCCACGTTTGATTTTTGCTTCAGCTATCTAAATCCAAAATAAAATATATGGTTGTTTTAATATGTAGCGACTCTGGAAATGACTGAAGTTGTCATAGAAGAAGAGTTCATATTGGCTGGAAGACGGCTTAAAAATGGAAACCATTCTAAATATATTGGCAGTGGCTCCACTCGAACCCTATTCTGCATTGATTATAGAGCTTTTTGAGAGTAAAAAGCTCTGTGAAATTAACAGAGCTTTGCATCTTCATGGAGCTCCACTTCATTCTGAGTGTCAGGAATTTTGTTTGGAGCACAACTTACGGTTCTGCCGGAAGGTACTAAATGGTGCGTTAGCAAAATATTAAGCTTGTCTAGCCATTAAAATGAAAATATGTAGCCTTTATATTTTGCAATTGTTATTTTCTAATTTAGATTTAAAACCGAAAAACTAAAAAAAAAACTGTTATCTCATTTTATTTTGAAATGGAAAAAACAAAACAAAGAATTAACCATACTTCTGTTTATTTCAGCATACAACCAACCTTCTGTTCAATGTCAGCATCAATGAGTCCATAAAATCTGGACAAAAAAAAGCATCTTTGGTGGACAAGTAGAAAAATAAAAACAGCTGCATRGTCTGTTAATGAAACGACTGTCCTCCTCTGTCTCCAGTATGATGTGCACAGCCTGCGATGGTCTGTGCGATAAAGTGTGTGAGGGGAAGGAGATCGAATCTATGGATGCTGCCCAGTCTCTCAAAGGCTGCACCGTTATCAAAGGCAATCTGCAAATCACCATCCGCAGAGGCCGTGAGTACCGCAGTGTTTCACAGCAGCACCACAATTATTACTGGCATTCCTACTCCAAGGACAGCTGAGGAGTTTCACACTGCATGTCGAAAAGTTTTTGTAATATACCGTTTAAAACCAGAAGGTTTTATAGTCCCAGATTTCCCAAAGTGGGAATGTCYTAATTTGGGAATCTTTTGTAACATTTTTATGATTTTTAAATCTGACTTCATCAACAGGGCTGAGTTTTTATCAGTGTTGACAGGAGTGGGGAGTGTAACAACATCAGTGTGCTTGTGTGTGTTTAGATGACATCATGGCAGAGCTGGAGAGTTTCACGGGGTTGATCCAGAGGGTGACAGGTTACGTCCGGATCACAAACTCGCACACTCTGAGTTCTCTGGCGTTCCTCCGCAGCCTCAGATACATCGATGGAGAAAATCTTCTAGAAGAGTAAGATGACAGAAATACAGTTTAGCCTCTCATTGTGACTCACGGTGGTTTTCCATCTCTGTTCACAAGCTGACCAAACTTTGATCCCTGGTCTTTTTTTTAGGATGAGTTATAATCCGTTAATTAGAACAGATCGCAGTCACTACAGCTGAGTCATAACCTGCATCTGTGCTTCTGATCAATTTTAAGAAGAGTACTATAATTCAACAGAAATGATACAAAAAAGATTAGTAAAATTTGACATATTCACTAGACTTTCTAAATAAGGATTTATAGTTTGTAGTTTTTTCCTACATTTTTTAATTTTTGTAGTGTTGAAAGTAGGAAGCCACATTTAGARGAGCCGAGCTTCCTGATATTTCTTTGAGCTTTTCATTTTGCGTCATGTCTTTGTCATTAAACTGATGGTTTTTTGCAATAATTTCTAGCTTGTGGTCACATTAACGAGCAGATGCACAGTGGTAGTGGCTTAAATTGAAGTTTGATTAGGTGCAAGATAGAATTGTTAAATAATAAAAAAACATATCCAAATTATTATTATTATTTTGTCATTGGTTGTCCTACTATAACTAGCTGCAGCTTCTAATCATATATGTTTACATCCGAAAAGTCAACCAAACAGAGGATCTGGTAGCTCGGTGGTCGCTGCCGCAGTCCTGCAATCCTGAGGAAGTTTGAGCCCAGATTGCTTCACTAAAGGCATCAAACTGCCAAATCATTTCTGCAGCTTGGCATGCTGTAAGAAAATTATAACTTTAAAGACTAAAAGTTATTATTTATGTTGAGGTTTCTAAAGAACGTGCCTACATTATGAAATAAAATGACACTTAACTAAACTGCAGATTTGATGCAATTTTTTCCTCTTCATCAAGCTTTCACCAACAAACCATCAATCATCCTTTTAAATGACAGATATTTAAAAAAAAAGCTTATGTTTGTGGAAAATTAAAATTAATATTGTAAAAACAAAATTAGCTGATTTCATGTACTGTTGCTTTAAGACCACCGTGTTCTTGGCGCACTAACGAATTGTTATGGCAATGTGACCTACTGTAAGAAGACTCACTCCGGTGCTAAACCTCACCAGTCTTGTGTAAATAATCTGTCCATCACAGCACTGTCCGTCACTTTCACAGTCATGTCAAAAATAAAAAAAACAAAAAAATAAAAAAAACTTTCTGAACATGAGCTACAATAAATGACTTGTGATAGTCATTGGTTTTTAGTCGTCTGCTTCTAATTCACTGAGAGTTTAGTTTCTCCCACATTCTCAGCAGACTACTCACTCCAGTCCCCAGTGATTAAAAAACTCTGAGTTATCACAACACAAGACTTTCAACTTGGTACAAATACTCAGAAAAAACTTAGTACTTGAGGGTATTTTTGACACTGCATTGGAAAAGATTATTTGTTAAGCAGGACTTGACTTTCTTCAGTAAGAGCGTCCGTGTTTAAAACTGAAATTATTTTAAGCAAAAACACAAATTTGGATTTTAGTGTAAAGAAAATGCTGATGTGAAGTCGTGACTTAAGTGGGAAATAAAATTATGATTTAAATGATTGAGTCCAGCAGTCAAAATGTGAGATGACACAAAACATCTTTTTGTTTGGGGGGGGGGGGGGGGGGGTCGTTCGTTCATGAAAGTTGAGGTTACGTCTTTGATCCCCGAGGCTGTACGGGGGAGTGTACCGCAAAAGGAGATGCTGAGAAAATTCTTGAAATTGAATCAGATTTTTCAGCTAGATCAGAGCCAACGTTTGCCTGAGACCAGTTTCTTTTCTCTTTTTAATTGCTGATTAAGTCTTATTTAAAAAATACTTGCTCATCAGGAAATTGTGGGATTTGTGAAAGTGACCTAAAATACACAGGGGGTGTTGATTAAAAAAACATTTTCTGTTGGATTTAATGAATTAAAAACTTGTCTTTCCAAACTGCTATAATAACCAGTTTGTAAATATACTAATTAAGAGATGAAGAAAAATCAAACTGGTAGTTTTGTCTGAAATTCATTTATAAWAAAAGCCTAAAAGCTGTGAAAACTACAGTCTACAAACTACAAAATGTTTTTACCATATCTGCATTTTTTCCAAGTGTTTATGAGATTGTTGTGTTGTGTTGCCGCTTGAGTTTAACAATTAACCAACCCCCCCGTCCCCCTGCAAGTTCACCTGCAGTTTCTGTTTTATCAGCTCTGCTTTTTCGAGACGATTTCCTTCACGTTGTTGAAACGTCTCATGCRGAGTTCCTCTGCCACTCCCAGACCCCGACAGCAGCTTAAACTCCAAACAGTGTCTGGAGAGACTTTGTCAGGGTCGTGCAAAGACCTTCACTCCCTCCTTCATCTGTTTGTCTTTGAGTTCACAGGAGTCTCATTGTCCCAAGGTCCACATTACAGTCATTCCTTGATGTCTGGGTGTTACCTAGTGACTCATAAATAAACTCTCTTCCAGTAAAATAAACCAAACTGCTTTGTGTTAATCGGATTTGTAAGGTGATTGTTATCCTGCTGCCAAAGAGTCCTCCACTGTCTGACCAAATCCTTAAAGTTTGGGCTTCGTGTAAAGGTCTAAGGAAAACGACTACATTACTTTGAAATAAGATAAGTGGGGAAAGTTGTCTTTCAGCATAGCGTGAGTCACTGCGAACACCACCTACAGACGTACACAAATGTAGAGTGAAGCACTTAATTGTTGATTTGTGATTCTTATCTTGTTTGTCCCTCCAGCCTGTATGCCTTCTCAGCAAACAACAACCAGGAGCTCCAGTATCTTTGGGACTGGAATCAGCACAACCTGACCATAAAAACAGGAAAGCTCTTCTTCAAAGGCAACCCGAAGCTCTGCATGTCCGAGATCCGCAAGATGTGGGACAAGACGGGCGTGCAGGGCCGCTTCGACGAGACCGACTTCCACAAGAACGGCTACAGAGCCAGCTGTAAGAGTCACCAAACCAGTCCAGTATACGTATATATATATATATATATATATGCAGGTGTTATTCCTCTGAGCTGATCTCCCCTCTGCACTATATGTCAGTATTTATTGCTTCACATCTTCAACAAGACTAGTGTAACACACATACACACTGAAGTGCTTGGGCCATGTTCTCTTCTTAATCTTTACTGTCCCCCACAGGTGAAAGCACTATCCTACAGTTTACGTCTAACAGCACCAGCAGCACACGGATCAAGCTGACATGGGAGCGCTACCGACCGCCTGATTACAGAGACCTCATCAGCTTTGTAGTCTACTACAAGGAGGCGTAAGTTCCTGCTAAGTACTGCTGAGCAGAGCTGGCCACAGATACTTCCATCCCTCTTTGTTGTCACTTGGTTTTAAAGCCGACGGTCTGTTGATGCCTTCTCCCCAGCTGTTCAGTATGTCTGAGATTGTCTAGTCAAGTCTGATTTAGTTTTATTTTCGACCCGTAGCAGTTAAAAGCCAACAGACTGTTAAAAGATGGAGGATGAATTCATGTCGTCTTACATGGCCGCTCTTTATTTTTCCAGGCCCTTCCAGAACATCACAGAGTTCGAGGGGCAGGATGGTTGTGGCTCCAACAGCTGGAATATGGTGGACGTGGAGCTGAGGCCAGATAAAGAGTCGGACCCCGGGGTTCTGCTCTCCGGCCTGAAACCYTGGACACAGTACGCCATCTTCGTTAAAGCTATCACCCTCATGGTGGAAGACAAACACATGCTCGGTGCGAAAACCAAGGTTGTCTACATTCGCACCAGCCCCTCTGGTATGTGGGATGACTTTACTTMATGGTATTTTTGAGAGCTGAAACATATTTTATTGTGTAGATAATTATTAAATGCACTATAAAAGTTGTCATTGTTTCTTAATCTTAATTTGAAATAGGTAAAAGTTGTATTAAAAAATTCCACTATAAAATGGGATAGCCCTTCACAAAGAAGCACTATTGGTTGTCACCAGTTCTTTTTACATAAACATTTCCCACACCAGCAGACTTCAACAACAGTGATTTTCATGCTCGTTAAAGATCAAGAATAATTCCAAGTGTAATATCTTAAAATACATTAAAACCTTAACTGGTGGCTGCCTGCCTGCAGGCCCTATTGACTTAGTGTTGAATGCAGAACCTCATATATTCTGCTAAGGCTTTCAATTTTAAATACTAAAATGTCAAAATGCAGCAACATAAAGAGATAATGATACAACAGAAACTCGAGAGAGAGAGAAAAAAAAATCCTGTATGTATTWACTTTAATAATTAGGGCTGGGCGGTATGACCCGAAAAAAAATCTCAGATTTTTTTTCATCCCTAATTCGATTTTTGATTTTAATCGATTTTGCTTCCCACTTAACGCCTCTGTTTCAGGTGTCGAAACAAATTTGTTGTACTCCTGCTTTTTCTAGCAAGAGCCTTAAAACAGATTTTGCAGTGAGGTGTTTGTTGCTCCAAGTCCGAGTTTGGGAAACCTAACCAGTTCCAGAAAACTGAAGAAACAGTGCCTTTTTTGGGAAGTATATCGTCTTTGCTAGCTGCCATATTGCCATGTCATGTAACAAGCATCTTGAGGGACAGGTGGGGTGACCACTGATCCACAGAAGCCCCAAACAGTGCACTGGTGGGAAAAAAAATCTTGATTTTTTTCCAAAATTAAATCTTCATAAATGGCAAATTCGAATTAATCGATTAAATCGATTTATCGCCCAGCCCTACTAGAGTCACAATAATTTTGACTGCTGAGGCTAAAAATTCAGTGTTTRCATTGCAGAGAGACCAAATTTTCCGGTTCAAGAACAACATTTAATTTAATTGATGAATGCTTTTTCCAGGTGTTGAGGCATTTTTTGCTGAGACTGTTAATGGGATAAATTTGATTTTAAATCGGCTTTTGTGCTATTTATTTATTTTAATAAATTACATGTGTAAAGATTTTTACTTTAAAACATGTCACTGAAAGTCAGCCGCCTGTGGTGAGATGTTTAACAATTCACCTCAGTCAGAACAGTCCTAAACCGTTTGGAAAAAGATTGATAATTTTTAATATTAATTTTAGTCATAGTCATAGGATGTTGCTAGTCACAGCAAATTTGAAGTTTGTAAATTATATTTACATGTTCACAACAATTGGCTGCCCCACAAGATGAAGTTAATCCGACTAATCAATTAGGACAAACTCCGCCCACAAACCAAGAAACTCCCCCTATATACTGCAGAGACCCCGACTTGTAATATTATCCACTTCAAAAATTGAACCAGTCAAATGGACATGAAACAGATTATCAGTAACAACACACCATGGTTGTTCTGGTCCAGGTTTTGTTGCCAATATTAATGTTTACAGCTTTTTATGTGTGTTTATTTACTTTTGCCACAAATACTGTATGCTGTTTCAGATAGTTCACACATCTTTGCCTAAAACTAAGCCCCCACTTCTCCCTTGGCTTATGAGTGTTTGGTCAGTTTGAGTCCTTGCTGACCTCCTTGATGTAATGCATACAGTATAACATTTCATTGTACAGTGCAAAGTGTATTMTTTGGTTTTAATGTTGTTTATAGTTTCAGAACAGCGTATCTTACGACATACAACCAACCTGTGGTTGGAGGTTTTCTCCATTCAGGAACAGCCAAATACATTAGCTTGATGCTAACAGTCTCACCAAAACATAATTAACAAGCACATGTTCCTGTATGGGTTAATATTGCAAAGAGTGTACGATTGCTTTGCAGAATCTAAACATAACATGAACAAAAAGAGAGAGTGCTCTTTGAAATAAACACAGCTGCAGCTCAAAGGCCGATGATTTACAAGACTGTAATTCACTTAGATTAAATGGAGGACCGCATAAAATAAATCCAGCTGCAGTGACAAGACGTTGCAGTGCTGTGATGTCAGTAAAACACAGCTGCACTGGCAGTCGCTGCATTCAGCTCTAAAGAGGAGCGCTTTCCCAACCGTTCCTGGAGTCTTGTCTTCCTCTTTCAGCGCCCTCCATGCCTCAGGACGTGCGGGCCTATTCAAACTCGTCGACTCAGCTGGTGGTGCGCTGGTTGCCCCCCATCTCGCCCAATGGGAACCAGACTTACTACTTGGTGAGATGGCAGCAACAAGCTGAAGACCGGGAACTGTATCAGCACAACTACTGCTCAAAAGGTGACTACGTACTCTGTCCCGAACATTCACACCTACTGATGTTTCTAGCTGCTGCCGCATCACCTGCATCCCTGTCTTCCTCCACCAGAGCTGAAGATTCCTGTCAGGATTGCCGCTACAGGTGTTGGGGACCCAGAAGAGGACACAAAGCCCACTAAACCAGATCCTGACGGGTTAGATAAAGGCCCTTGCTGCCCGTGCCCCAAGTCAGCGGAGGAGCTGGAGGCTGAAGCTGCCGATGCTTCTTATAGAAAAGTCTTTGAGAACTTCCTGCACAACTCAATCTTTACACCGAGGTAATCATCTCCTCTTTGTTTCAGTACAAGAGTGAAGGGATTAAAGCAGTTTTTCACTTTACATCTTTTTTTTCATTACAGATATTTCAAATATGCAGAGTATAAAGAGAAATGATGAAATCCTGTATATATTTTAGAGTAATGTAATTCTGCTTCACAGATATAAAAACTAAAACAACTTCAAAGAAAGTCTTTTCATTTAATTTAATCTCCTCCTGTTTCCCCGTGTTCATGAGATCCAGCATCCTGTTTTGGACCTTAGACATCTGCATCACATTACCTCTCTACACAAACTCGTAAACACACGTCTCCGTAAAGCTGATGTGAAATTAGCTTTTAGAATATTTAGCAGAAACAGAAGGAAGAGCTGGATGTGCTTACTTGTAAAGATCAACATCAGGTGTTGCTTGAAACATCACAGAGAGGCACTGGGGTCGAGGAAATGTTGCTGCCATGTCTTGATGAAATACATGTATGTGCATTTCCAGTATTTCATCTCTGTGTCCTCAAGGCAGAGATGGGCAACTTTAATAATGGAAATGGCCACATTTTTTTCTTGATGCTACCAGCGGGCCACAAATGTAATAAAACTGCCATTTTAAAAGTGTTTATATATATATTTGTTTAT